ATTGAATCTGGAGTTGGTTATACCATAATGTCAGACCAACAAAAAGGATTGTTAAATGCTATTGGTAATGTCTTTCCAAGTGCTGAAAAATGGTGTTGTGCTAGGCATGTTTATGCCAACTTTAGGGGAATTTTTGGAGGAGGTCAACAACTTAGGCAAGAATTTTGGAAGATAGCAAAGTCAACCACCCCTAATGTCTTTGATGAACTAATTAAAAATTTCAGAACTCTATCACGTGCAGCCGCAGATGATTTGCTTCAAAGAAATCCTAACAAGTGGTGTAGGGCTTTTTATGAATACCACAACTCATGTGATAGTGTAGACAACAATGTGTGTGAAGTTTTTAATTCTTTCATACTCTCTAGTAGACACAAGCCTATTATTACGATGCTCGAGGAGATAAGGGAGCTAGTTATGGAAAGGTTGCACCGTAATAGAGATGCAATTAGAAAAAAACAGATTTTCTTATGCCCACGAATACAGTTGAAGCTTGAAAATGCCAAGTTAAAATCAAGGGGATGGACAACAAAGTGGGATGGGGTTTTCTGTTATGGCATCAGGCATGGTTCGGGTCAAGAGAAGTTTGTTGTTAGCCTTTTAAGCAAAACTTGTAGTTGTAGGGCTTGGCAGTTGAGTGGTGTCCCTTGCCGTCATGCGATCACTGCCATTTGGGCCACCGGTGAACATCCAGAGCATTATGTGGCCCACTGGTTTCACAAAAATCAGTACTTAAAAGCTTACGAATACGTGCTAGAACCGCTAAATGGTGCTCAAGAGTGGCTAAAGTTATCCAATCCGCCAATATACCCCCCTATTTTGAAGAAAAGGGTTGCATGTAGGCCTAAGATGCAAAGGAGGAAAGAAGCTGGTGAGATGAAAGAAAAGATGTTAAGCTAACAAAGAGAGGAAGTGCTAATAAATGTAGCAATTGTGGTGAAGGTCACAACATGAGAAGGTGTAAACAAACTAAAGCCCAAATACTAAAGGAAAGAAAGAAAGACTTGCAACACCAACCAAGTTGCAGATCAAAGGGAAGAAAAGAGCAGTAGGAAAATCAAGCCCGGTAGTTTGCTGCAGTTTTTTGTTGTTGCTACAATCTGTTTCCAAATTAATTTTTTGTTGCATCAAATAAATATGAAATTCGTTTGTTTCACTCTACTTCCGGATTAAGTTTTTTTTGTTGTTGACGTGCACTTTGTCGTGAGTGCACTCAAAATAAATTCAATACTAACACTTATACGTAGTATAGCGTAGTAGAGTTCGCATCCACAGGGAAAGGAATAACTCTTCTTTTTATGTAACTAGTAAATAAAGGGGGGGTTTTGATTTGATTTGGTTTTAATTAATTTAAACACAAAGATGAACGACTTATGTGATTTAATTCAAAGATAAAAGGGACTTGGTATTGCTACTTTACACTTGTTGATATATTTTAGTCGATCATTGTTATATCTATAACTTATCTCCTCTCGAATACTCAATCGAGGAGTATATCCAATTCATCGAGGATAGTTATTAACAACGACCGTTCATTAATAACCCTTACTATTAGTCAAGTATAGAACAACGCCATATACCGACTTGATAGTAGCATTTAATCTTTTAACTCCTTGATGAAATCAATTGAGATTGATAACCTCAACACAATGGTTTCGGTTTAACCAACAAAATTAATCCCTCTTAAGTTTATTAACCACGACCGTGCATTAATAACCGAAGTTACTTACTTGTGAAACTATCAACGATTAACCATCGGTTCGTTGATCGTTTCTAGTGATAATTAATATGTGAAACAAAACTAGTTGATCCTTTAAGTAATGTTCAAAATATTAATATGAAATATGAATAGGGATTAATTATTACTCAAGGAAGAATATTAAAGAAGATGAATCCTACTATAGTTAATATCAAGATGTTAACTAATTGTTATCTTAGTAACACTCCCCGATATTAACATAGAGGAAGGAATAGCTATTACTAAAACCAATGTCAAGATGTTAACTAATTGTCATCTTAGTAACACTCCCCAACATTGATATAGAAATAGTATTTAAAGGAAGAATTAATATTCAAGGAAAAGAAGTTAAGAAAATAACTCACAACTTTAATAATCAACAAGCTTCAAGAGCAATACCAAGAAATGGAAGTTTAGCTCCTCATTTGGAGACTAAACATGCTAAAAGAAATATAGAGAAATGCTATTCTAAACTGAGCTTAAGAGTATATAGGAATTGGTTTTTCTATTGTGAAGGAAAGGAGGTGTATTTATAGGCTTTTTTGAGGTGCAGGTCAGGTACTCGATCGAGTATATGTATATACTCGATCGAGTATGTGTAGAAATCAGAATTCGACCCATACTCGATCGGTTTTAGAGTAAATTTTATAACTATACCCGATCGAGTATGTCGGTGTACTCGATCGGGTATAGACACTCGATCGTGGGTAAAATTTCCCTGCATGTTCCTTTGCTTTCGGATCCGATTTGATTTGAAGTTTCAACAAGATACCCGATCGAGTATAGGTGATACTCGACCGGGTATAGACATAAAATTCAGGATCTCTTCTTTGTCTTGTGATTTTGCACCTTCCTTCCACTTTTGGGGTTCACCAACTGTCCTTTGAGTGATGGTATACCTGTTTGAGCTCAGAATAAACCTAATCTAAACAATTTACAAGAATTTAACAAACTAAACTATTACACCGAAAGTGTGTAATTTCCGAAATATTAAACAATCAAAACTAACTAAAAACGTAAATAAACATATGGAAATTACAAACGTATCAGTTGTTGCACTGTTTTTTGCTAGTTATATGACTTCAGTTTGATAAGAACTACTACGTGCATCACTAACTCCAATATTTGTTTAACTTTGTGTAACCAGAAATGGAGAGGTTGATCCGCCGCAAGCATGGGACATATATCTTGGTGAAGTATTACAGGAGATGGGCACACTTTTTGCTATACTAATTTTATTGTTACATTGTGATGGATTCATTGTTTACAAGGAACTACTGAATTTAGTTTATTAGATTTTTGCTGCATTTAGCATCAATTGAAATACTCTCATTTAGCTAAGCTAGTATTCACTTCCGATCCTCTGCCTTAGCTTTTCTGTAGCCTTGTTGTGGGAAACAAATGACAACCTACGGTGCACCGATACTTCACCCCGATGACGTATCCGCGTATCTGATACGTATCCGATACCGATACTCACCGATACGCGTCCTGTACGTATTGGGTCCGTATCCGTAATTTAATAAAAGTATCGGGCTTATTTTTTAAAATTCCGATACTTCCGATACCTGTATCCGTAAACCGATACCCGTATCATTGATCTGATACGCGTATCCGCTCCTTTAATCCTCATTTCGTAAACGACATGAAGAAAACTTAGTAGCCGCTCAAGCGACCACAAGATGCGGAACATTGATAAAGATGATTTTGGAAGTATGAAAAATAATGGAATACTATAATTTATTTGTCATTTTATCGCTTGATGAAGTTTAATTGAAACGAAACTTAGATGTGAATGCAAATAGAGAACAAAAAATATTATTTGAATTTAAATCAAAATATCAGTACTTTAGATTTTCCAGCGTAATCTTTGAAATTTTATTATAATAGTTAATTTTTTGTATTGTAGTTATTTTATTTATGAATCCCTGAATTATATATATTTGCAAATTAAACCCTATATTTTTATTATTTATAAATATACCCCCGTACCCGTATCCTGTAATTTTTGAAATTGCCGTATCGCCGTACCCGTATTCGCGTATCCGCGTATCGGCGTATCCGTATCCGTGCAACATAGGTGACAACTACTTGCTGATTAACCCACAAAACAGCTAGAGTTCCGACCTCAAATATAAACAAGGAAATTAAAAGTGATCGATCGATATGATGGGTTGTTCAAGGCCATTACTTGTGTTCATCATTCATCTCTTGCTGCTCACTTCTTTCATCTCCTCAACACAAAGCAGGCTGTTGACAGAGAGGTTCATGTAGAAGCCAAGAGATCAGCGCCGCCGCCGATGATGTTCAAATAAAGACAAAACTTACATTGAAAAATAGTTAAAATAATTTGCGCATGAAAACTAACTTCAGTCAATTTAGTCGAAAACTAACTTCGAACATACTTATTTTGATTATTACACTATTCAGCGCGTGAAATCAAAAGTTATGTATATGTCACATTCATCATATTCACCCAACACGCTCTAACAAAGAATATATACAATTAAAACAAGACACATTGATTATACATTCAAAAGCCACATTATTCAAATTGGGTATCAATTGTTTCCATAGTATATTATACGGCAGGCAGTTCATGTACTGCGACTAACTTGCTTAAAGTTAGAGATCAAACTGGTGGATTCTGTGGAATAGTGGAATGACGAATCTTTTTCATCGTTGAACAGTACTTCTATAGGTTCTGCAACAGCTCTCGGAGGCAACTGCAGACCTTCCACATCACCAATGAGCATTTCCACAACTTTGTTCATGGAAGGTCGGTTACCAGGATTCATCTCAATACACAACAACCCCACCATAACCATCTTTTTAGCTATTTTATTTTCCTCCTCTGTAGTGCCTCCAATCTCTCCATTTCTTCCATCAGAAACTTGGTTGTAAACCCATTGTGGGAAGTACTGGCTTGAATCTTTTGTTGATATATTCAATTTATTCCGCTTTCCAGCCATATCTAATAATAGCATCCCAAAGCTATAAACGTCTGCTTTGTACGAGACGCGTCCAATATTCTTATAGAACAGTTCTGGTGCCATGTATCCAATTGCCCCCCTTGCGGCAGTCAAAGTTGCAATACTGTTGTTGGCCTTTGAGTACAACTTTGCAAGTCCAAAGTCTGATACTTTTGGGGTGAAATTTTCATCAAGCAGAATGTTATGTGGCTTTATATCAAAATGAAGTATTTGCATATCACAACCTTGATGTAGATACTGAATGCCACGAGCAACGCCTACAGAAATCCTATACATTTCCTCCCAAGTCATTGTCGAGGTCAATCCTTCTTGAGACAACAAATATTTATCAAGAGAGCCCTTTGGCATGAACTCATACACAAGAGCACGCTTACACCCCTCCACACAAAAACCAATCAGTTGCACCACATTAACATGATGAATTCTTTCAATGGTTGCAACTTCGCTAATGAAATCTTCTCCGTTACCTTTCGAGTTCACTAACATTTTTACAGCAGCAAAATGACCACTACGGAGCTTTCCTTTATATACTGCACCGAAGCCTCCTTTTCCTAACATCTCCTTAAACCCCCCTGTCATCTTCTTAATCTCCGTGTAAGAATACCTTATAGGCATAAGATTGTTATGGTTCTTCAGAAAGTTTTCTACTTTGTCGTAAGCTGATAAATGTCTCCTTCGCCATGTGTAGATCAGCAATGCAATCATAAATGGAGCGCCTATTATTGCCTTTGTTGCTTGAAAAAGACCTATGTATGAAATCAAATCAATCATCAGTACACTATTACACTAACTATAAGAAGATACAAAATTTATAGATGAATTAAAATACACTCCGTATTTGTTACTCCGTATAAATTTGCTAAAAAATATACCGGTTATAAATTTGTTAAAAATATACGTAGTATTTGTTAGAAAATATACTGGTTAAAATGGTTATATATATGTTAAAAATTTATTTTTTATTAGTAAATGTACAACCTTTTATAATTTAATCTACTCCATCCGTTTTCCAATACTTGTCCCCCTTTCCATTTTGGATTGTTCTTCAATAGCTGCTTCTCTTTCCATTTTTAGAAAGTTCTTTCAATAAATATACCTATATACCCTCATTCTCTTTCCTATTTTTCATTTAAACACAACCTGCTGCACCTTTACATTACCAATATTATTTTCCTCTTAAAAATTGTGTCAAACCCTATAGGGACAAGTATTCTAGAATGGAGGGAATATACTTTTAACATTTTCTTTACATTTTCCTATTTATTGTTAGTCTTGTTTAACTATCTATAATATATCCAAAATTAATCAGACTTACTAGACATATACTCTCTGTATCACAATAAAAGTCCCGCTAGACTTTTCACGTAGTTTAAGATATTTTATAGGTTTAATGTACACTTTTGGAAAAAGTAGGAGATTTTTTGTAATGTAGGAGTACTGTTTAGTTTATTAAAGTGTACTGTAACTATTTTTGGAGTAGAATTTTTTCCTAAAAAGGAAGTGAGACTTATTTTGATACGGCCAAAAAAGGAAAGTGTGACACTTATTATGATACAAAGGGAGTACTAACTATAGGAAGATACATAATTTATAAATTAGCTTATTAATAACTGTAGGAGTACTTTCAAAAAACTATAGGAAGATACATAATTTATAAATTAGCTTATTTGTTTGTTTAGTTTAGAAGGCGGACTTGTAATTTAAGGATACAGAAGGTTACTGCTTACCAATCAGATAGATTATATACAACCATGATCCTGGAGACAAAAATGAAACCAGTTGATAAGATTTTACATACTTTGATTAGTATGAGGGAAAGGTAAATGTGCTATATTTGACTTGCAGAGAATATGAAAGGCCTACCCTTCAAAGCATCCAATATTTCGATGACAATGGCACGAATGCTTGTAGCATCTTCATTGGCCACAGAAAAAAATAACTGTTTAGGAGCAGAAGTATGAATAATTGAAATAAGATTAGGCATCTACCTTCTTACTAATAAAGTTCAACCTTGAAATTGAAATTGATTTCTCAAGTATTTGCTATTGAGTACAATTATGAATTTTAAAATTGCTATTGAGTCCAATTAATTCAGGCCATATTTGCAAGTAATAGAATCTTAAGGCATGTAATGTAAATTATCTAACTCAGGCTATTAATTGCAATTTGCTATTATACCTACGTAGGAAAACAAAGGAGTAAAGGAAGATTATCCTTTCCTTTTTTAATTATTGTTTGAATATTCTACCAACAAAAATTAATGAAATCAATAAATTAAAAAAAAGAGTAAGACAATTAATGCATTCATACATACGTTTCTTTCAATAAAAGAAGGGAAGACAGAAAAATTTAACAAACGTGTGTATAGAATTAAGTACAGATACAAACGAGTTCATTTTATATACTTCCTCCGTTATTTTTTAACCATTCATATCTTTCATTCCTTATTAGAAAAAAATTAAAAAAATAGATTTTGAAAATTTGAAATAATAAGGATTTAAAAATATTTTTGTTTAAATTTAATTTATAATAACATTCATAAATAAAATATAGTCAAAGTAGAACACGTGAATAGTTGAAAAAGTCCAATGTTGCATTTAAAAAAGAACGGGGGAATCATTTGATAAAGAAAATTATGAACGTGTTCAAGATTCAGTATTGAATTTTATATTTTTTTCAATATATAAAATCATTCCTTTCAGTACTTAATTTTATATATTTTTTTCAATTTATAAAATCATTGCTTTCAGTACTTAATTTGAATGAAAGAAACGGCGTTCAGGATTTATGGATTCAAATTTCTTTCAATAATGAAATCAACTTCATATCATACTTATTGTCTTTCCATATGTATATGGGGTTACATTTCAGGAAAGTAGATACGGAGTATATATATAGTGTATAAACTATAACAAACGTGTGTATAAAGTTTTGTACAAATTATGTAGTATGTATACAAGCATACTTCATGGATTCAATATATAAAAAAAAACGTATTCCCTTGCCATATTAAACTTACATATTGGTGTACGCTTGACCAAACAAACGTATTCCCTTGCCATATTAAACTTACACCAATATGTAAATCAATTTAAATATATTTTTGTACTTAATGGTCAAATTATATAGTACGTATACAAGCGTACTTCATGTCACACTTATTATCTTTCTATATATACATGGAGTTACACTTTATTAACATTTAAATACGGAGTATATATATAATGTTCATTACCAAACAATTAAGATCACACAAGCTGTTTTATTCCCTTTCAGAGGTTAAGTTGTCTCTTCTAAAATGTGTGATTTTATAAAAACTGTATCTCTTGGCCGTCAAAGTCGGAGACTCCAAGTCCGACTTATGAGAAGATGAACAGTTTTCGACAAGGACTCACCTACTACGAAGAAAACAATAGAGCTGGTCCTTCTTAGATGAATGTGTAAAAACTTTAATTTTTAGTTTTTTTTTAGTTTTTATAGTATGTTTTATATGATTTCATTTTACATTTGAGAATGTGAGAATGTTTCAATATTTTGCTATTAACATTGTTTTTTATTTAGTATTAACATGAAATTGATTTATTTAATATGCTATGCAGGGTGATTCCACTCAGTGCACAGTCGGCATAACATTTATTCAACGATTTGAGGATTTATTGGTTGAAGACAAGTGCTACAAAATGTGTATATTTTATGTTGGGGTTAATCGTGGACGCTTTTTGGCTACCCAACATAAATATCGTCTAAATTTTACAGCTGCTACTATTGTCAATGAAATAAAGGATTTAGATATCTCATCCACTTTTTACAATTTTTCGCCTTTCAAATCTATTTTGAATCCATCATTTGACCGTGCCCATTTAGTAGATGTCATTGGTCAGGTGTTTGATCCCAATTTAGAAACAGTACCTCTGAAAACTGGTGAGGAGAGGCTAAAATTACGCATGCTACTACAAGACACCAAGTAAGTAATTTTTTTTATATATTACTTATGTGTGTATGCATGACTCACTACATCTTATTTTAAAAATTTGCAAATTTTTTGGCGTAGAGGGACGACTCTACCATGCGTGTTGTGGGGTGAAAAGGCCAAGTATGTCGAGGAAGAAATTCAAAACAATCCCAGGCCACCTTTTATAATTGCTATCCGATTGGGACTTATTGACACATTTTATGGTAACTTAAATCAATACATTACTTATTTGAGAATTGTAATATATGACATATTTAATGATACATGCTTTAATTTTTTATAAGGTGAATCATACGTCACTACGTTTTTCGAAAATATCATAGTTGTTTTGAATGGATAGGACAAGTGGTGCACTCAATTTCGAGAGAGGCATGGAGAACAAAACAATTATGTCCGTTATAAAATATATAATAATACTTTAAAGAGCTAACACTACGTTTTGTCAATTATTTAGTATCTTAAAAGAGCACACAACCTCAACTCAATCACTAAGTCTTACCCATGTTTCTTACAAGAGAAAGAGCACTGAAGAGTTATTTTTAGATGTTTATGCCTCTAAAACAGTTGCTGAATTAGTAATTTTTGAAGAGGTACTTCTCTCACTACATCTATTTTATAAGTAATTTTTTTTATCATTTATTCAAGCAATATGTTTGGATTGTGAAATAAATGCTTCATAAATTTTGATTCATACCTTGAGAGATAAGTTTCAATAATGGCCAATTTTACACAATACAAAAAGTAATGAAGAAAGGCATCTTAATATATATATTTATATATTCAAAAGAAATAAATTTCTTTATCGAGGCGGTGAATTTGGTTTATAAGGAGGTTTTCCAAAACCTAACAATGTGATATATGGTGTTTGCGGTGTTTTACATTACAATGTCACTATTCAGTACTCCTTTCGTCTCATAGACAGATTCTCACTTTTGTTTTTGGAATGTCTCATATAAAGGTTCTCATTTATATTTTAGGAAATAATTAGAGTTTTTTACCTATATATTACCAATAGTATGCAAGTTTACAAAAATGTGACTCACTCTTCACTAATACAAATAGGTACGGCAGTTTTTTTAACAATGAAGGTAGTTAGTGCAATCACATTAGTAACCGGTGGTCATATATTTGTTAATAAGATTTAAAGTAGTAATATATTTGTAATTTTTTCAAATAATTAACACTCTTAAATGATAATTTACTCATTAAATATTAAAAATAACACATTTATAACATCACAGTTATCACTACTAATCTCACTATATTACCTCCGTCCTACTTAATAATGTGACAAAAAGGGTGGTGCGATTATTTAGAAAAGTGAGTTAGTTTATGTGGTTGATATTATATTGAATTGATAAAATAAGAATAAAGTAAGAATGATTTAAAATCATCAATTCTTACCAAATTTAGTATGAGACATTCTTAGTGGAAGAGACCGAAAAGAAAGGATGAGACAATTTTAGTGGGACAGAGGGAGTATATTAATATATATATATATATATATATATATATATATATATATATATATATATATATATATATATAAACAATTCTAAATAAATTAAAAATATACTCAAATTACCTTATTTAATTATTGTGTAAATAATCATCCCGTTTAAAGGTCCCCATGACAAAATTA